CACTATATCCCCCCCTGCTTTTAACATTTCTGACATGATCCCATCAGTTCCAGCTGCTTTACCCCCTTTCATTTTACGTAATGCCTCTCGTACCTCCCCCACACTTACATTCTGCTCTTCTTCACTCCTAAAAGATGGTATACCTCCCTGACCAGTGCATGAAATTACTGCCTCTGTTTCTTCCTTAACATTTAAAAGTTCCTCAAAATATTCTCGCCATCTACCCAATACCTCCATCTCCCCATCTACTAACTCCCCTACTCTGTTTTTAACTGACAAATCCATATTTTCCCTAGGCTTTCTTAACTTGTTTAACTCACTGCCAAAATTTTTTCTTATTTTCATTAAAATTTCTTGACAGTGCCTCTCCCACTCTATCATCTGCTCTCCTTTTGCACTTTCTCACCACTCTCTTTACCTTTCTTTTACTCTCCATATACTCTGCTCTTCTTATAACACTTCTGCTTTGTAAAAACCTCTCATAAGCTACTTTTTCTCTTTTATCACACCCTTTACTTCATCATTCCACCAATCACTCCTCTTTCCTCCTGCCCCCACCCCCCTATAACCACAAACTTCTGCCCCACATTCTAATACTGCATTTTTAAAACTATTCCAACCCTCTTCAACCCCCCCACTACTCATCTTTGCACTAGCCCACCTTTCTGCCAATAGTCACTTATATCTCACCCGAACTATGCTCTTTAATTCTGTAAGAAAAAATAATTTTTTTTTTTTTCAAAATTTCTTGGACACTGGTGCGTGACTTCAGATTTTGGCCTTGGACCCTGAAAGGGTTAAACAACCATGGTGACATTACACATCCCTGTCTAACACCTTTTACCGGGAAGTAGTCTCCCTCTCTTCTACACACCCTAACCTGAGCTTCACTATCCTCATAAAAACTCTTTACAGCATTTAATAACTTACCACCTATTCCATATACTTGCAACATCTGCCACATTGCTCCCCTATCAACTGTATCATATGCCTTTTCTAAATCCATAATTGCAATGAAAACTTCGCTACCTTTATCTAAATACTGTTCACATATATGCTTCAATGTAAACACTTGATCTACAAACCTACCCACTCTAAAACCTCCTTGCTCATCCACAGTCCTACATTCTGCCTTACTTCTAATTCGTTTAATGATAACCCTACTGTACACTTTTCCTTGTATACTCAGTAAACTAATTCCTCTATAATTTTTACAATCTCTTTTGTCCCCCTTCCCTTTATATAAAGGAACTATACATGCTCTCTGCCAATCCCTAGGTACCTTTCCCTCTTTCATACATTTATTAAACAAAAATACCAACCACTCTAACACTATATCCCCCCCCTGCTTTTAACATTTCTGTCATGATCCTGTCAGTTCCAGCCGCTTTACCCCCTTTCATTCTACATAATGCCTCACTAGTCGAAGTAGGTCTTCATTCAAAGGTTGGACAAGTTTTGAAGAATTCTTTGTATCAAGATCCCATGATCATGCAGTGTCTGACAGTTGTCAAGAATGGTTTTGAAAATCGACAAGTTGAAGATTGAGACACACAGAAATATCGAAGCTAAAACCTTGGGTAGTTTAAAATTTAGGTTGGATAAGTACTTAAGTAAAAGGGGTTGGATTTGAGTGGGACTTGCAAGTGAGTAAATAGAATTGTCAACGCTTACTGCTTGGGTAGCGTTTACTCTGTTATTGGGTTGGAATTGTGAAGGACCTGCCTAGTATGGGCCAACAGGCCTACTGCACTGTTTCTCCTTTCTTATGTTCTTATTGCTTGGGTAGCACTGAAAATTGGGGTAGGCAAATATTCTGCTAGTGGGCATCTTACTGACAAAGAGAACGAAATGTGTTGGGTTTTAAATAATTATTTTCACTCTGTTTTTCACAGGAAGACACTAACAATATCCCAGTAATTAATTTTTATAGTGGGCCTGAAGAAGATAAATTATGTAACATCACAGTCACTAATGAAATGGTTATGAAACAAATAAATCAAATGAAACAAAATAAATCGCCGGGTCCTGATGAGCTTTTTTCAAGGGTTCTTAAGGAATGCAAAACGGAACTCTGTGAACCATTAACTAATAATTTTATTTTATCTCTTCAAACAGGTGTAGTGTCTGATATGTGGAAGATGGCTAATGTAATTCCTATTTTTAAAGCAGGAGACAAGTTGTTACCTTCAAATTACCGCCTAAGCCTGACCTCAATTGTAGGCAAATTGCTAGAGTGAATTATAGCTGAGATTATAAGAAGCCATCTGGATAAGCATAATCTGATTAATCACACTCAGAATGGATTCATGAGAGGCCGTTCTTTTCTAACTAATTTATTAACTTTCTTCAGTAAAGCTTTTGAGGCTGTTGATCACAATAAAGAATTTGATATTGTTTATTTAGATTTTAGTAAGGCTTTTGATAGAGTACCGCACCAAAGACTGTTAAAGAAAGTGGCAGCTCACAGCATTGGGGAAAAAGTGCTCTCATGGATCGAGTCATGGCTCACAGACAGGAAGCAGTGTGTGTGTCCATAAATGGGGTTAAATCCGAGTGGGGATCAGTAACAAGTGGCGTTCCACAGGGATCAGTCTTGGGCCCATTGTTGTTTATAATATATATCAATGATCTTGATGAGGGAATTACAAGTGATATGAGCAAATTTGCCGATGACACAAAGATAGGTAGGATAATTGATTCAAACGTAGATATCAGGGAACTTCAGGAGGATTTAGACAAACAATACCTGGTCAGAAAAGTGGCAGATGCAGTTCAATGTAGATAAATGCAAGGTTCTGAAGCTCGGGAGTGTCCATAACCATAGAACTTATAAGTTAAATAATGTAGAACTTAGCCATACAGATGGGGACATGGGGGTTATGATAAGCAGTAACCTTAAACCAAGACAGCAATGCCTAAGCATACGTAATAAGGCAAACAGATTACTGGGATTTATATCAAGTGTAAGCAACAGAAGTTTAGAAGTTATATTACAGCTTTATACATCATTAGTAAGGCCTCATCTAGATTATGCAGCTCAGTTCTGGTCTCCATATTACAGAATGGACATCAATTCATTAGAAAACATTCAGTGTAGAATGACTAAATTAATACATAGCATTAGAAATGTTCTTTATGAAGAAAGATTGAAGACCCTTAAATTACATTTACTTGTTAGATGAAGAATGAGGGGAGACATGATCGAAGTGTATAAGTGGAAGATGGGTATCAATATAGGGGATATAAATAAGGTCTTGAGGATATCTCTCCAAGAGAGAACCTGCAGTAATGGATTCAAATTAGACAAGTTTAGATTTAGAAAGGATACAGGGAAGTATTGGTTTAGAAATAGGGTAGTTGACGAGTGGAACAGTCTACCTAGTAGGGTCTAACCTTAAGTCATTCAGTCAGTCGGTCAAGTCATTCAGTCAATAAGTCAAGTCATTCAGTCAATAAGTCAGTCAGTCAAGTCAGTAAGTCAGTCAAGTCATTCAGTAAGTTAGTCATGTCATTCAGTAAGTCAGTCATGTCATTCAGTAAGTCAGTCATGTCATTCAGTAAGTCAGTCATGTCATTCAGTAAGTCAGTCATGTCATTCAGTAAGTCAGTCATGTCATTCAGTAAGTCAGTCATGTCATTCAGTAAGTCAGTCATGTCATTCAGTAAGTCAGTCAAGTCATTCAGTCAAATCAGTCAGTAAGTCAGTCATTCAGTAAGTCAGTCATTCAGTAAGTCTGTCATTCAGTAAGTCAGTCATTCAGTAAGTCAGTCATTCAGTAAGCCAGTCATTCAGTAAGCCAGTCATTCAGTAAGCCAGTCATTCAGTAAGCCAGTCATTCAGTAAGCCAGTCATTCAGTAAGTCTGTCATTCAGTAAGTCTGTCATTCAGTAAGTCTGTCATTCAGTAAGTCTGTCATTCAGTAAGTCTGTCATTCAGTAAGTCTGTCATTCAGTAAGTCTGTCATTCAGTAAGTCTGTCATTCAGTAAGTCTGTCATTCAGTAAGTCTGTCATTCAGTAAGTCTGTCATTCAGTAAGTCTGTCATTCAGTAAGTCTGTCATTCACACAAACTTATGTTTACCTCTTTTTGTGTACAAAGTAACACTATTATGCCACAGGTTATCTCTTGTCTAACATCTTTGTTTTTTGTTAATTCTAAGACTTAAATGCTGATACCTTTTCTGAACATGTATGAAGTACGAATGCTGGGATGAAGGGGTGGTGTCGGGGGGTGGCAGATGGTGGGAGGTCTCCCCCACTGATTCATGACAAGGCGGCCGCTTGAGGAAAAGGGAATTTTTTTTCCCTTCCCGCACTCTGAACCGTGTTAGATTAACTTTACGACGTGTTCATAAAATTATGCCGCAATTCTTTAATCATGTTATACTCAAATCATGCCAAATAAACTTGTGCTAAATGACGGCCTACTGTATCCAATTTTTTTTTTATCTAAATCATTTGATGCCCTCATCACCTTACTCCTATCTATGTTCACTTTCAACTTTCTACCTTTATATACCACATTTTGCATTGACAACTATATATCACAAGCCCATATCAAGACAGAGAAACTCAGCGACAATGTTACTGGATATTTCGTCCTCAAAGGATCGTGTTCAGAGCTCTCGTTGCAAGTCAAAATACTCAGATCCCATTTTACCCTCTGTATCCTTCTGTCTGTATGTGAATTGTTTTATATTGTATGGATCAGTATTAATTACACTGATACCATCATACTGCTAAAATTAATGAAGGGAAGATAATCAGAACGAGTGGTGGGGCTACTGGACTCGCAAAACCAAAAAAGTATAAACTCAGTAGTGACCAGTGTAAGCTTCAGGAGCTGAGACTCAAGCTCTGCAACTACAACCAGGCGAGTAAAAGCTCCTATCTTTTCTGACGTCAAGCTGGCAAATTTTCACCCAGAAAAACATGTCATTAAAAACAACTATTTTTTTTAGAAATGTCAAAATACAGTGTAGTAAATGTAAGCTGACCTTGGTAATTGTAAGAACTACATCTGTTGAGGTAGCAAGAGAAGAGAGAGTACCAGTGATGCGGTAACCCACAACTTTTGGCAGAACCATGGACACTGCTTGCCCTAGCATGACTGCCTCAGCCTCAATTCCTGAAAAAAAAGCAAGTCATACTCAACCCTTTCACTGTCCAGACCTCCCCAAAATTAATATTGCTCACAGTGTCCACTTTAAAAAAAAAAATTAAAACATCTGAGAAAACACCTCACAGTTACTGTTTTAACCCTTAAACGGTCCAAAGGTATATATACATTCACTCGTGCAGTGCCCCGAATATTTTGAAAAAAAAAAAATTATGGAAAAAAAAAAAAACACATTTTTTGACATATTTTAGAATAAAAAAAAATTAGGGTCAGTACTTACCGAGATATGAGGCCAAGAAGTTGGCGCTGGATGCTCATGTGACAGCAACATCGAGTCCTGCTGCTTGCAGAAGTGTTGCAGATATACCTTTTCTCTGTTTTTCATATTAGTATTTTATGTAATTTTTATAGAGGAGGAGGGAGGAGGAGGGAGGTGATATTTGATGAGCATTGCCCTCACTTTGTTTTCGCTGGTACACAAACATGTCTGTCTGTCTATTTGTCTGTCTGTCAAGCTCCCTGTCTATCTGTCTATCCGTCTAGCTCTGTGTCTCAGAGAGAGCCACAAGACTGCGTCGTCATCACGTTTACTCACATCTTCAAGCAGAGTATAGTACTTTGTCTGGATTTTTTGGGTTATCCTAGGTAATTTACACTATGTATACTTGTATTTATGTGTACCTGTGAGACAGAGACAGATTGAAAGAGATACAGAGTCAGATAGACAAAGACAGATACAGAGTCAGATAGACAAAGACAGATACAGAGACAGATAGACAGAGGTAGACAGAGATAGACATAGAGATAGACAGACAAGAGATAGACAGAGGAAGATAGATACAGAGATAGACAGAGATACAGAGATAAAGACAGACCCTAAACTTGGGGTTAACATCACTTTCCTCTTAGAAGAGGAGTGTTAATATGATACTACATCAGTGAATCCTTGGTGTTTGCCGCACTGTTTGCTCTAGCTGGCGCTCAATTTAACTGGCACTCCCACAAGGTACTAAGTGGTCCCAGATTTTAATACTGCGCACACTGAGTGTTAGGACCCATTCTATGCTGACAAGGCATCTCAGGCCAATCGTGCCAAATTTGAAGGGCACTACGCATAAGAATGTATATATACCGTTTAAGGGTTAAAATAAACATAAGGCAGCGTTTTTCTTTTTCCCGTCATGCACCACATGGGGCAGGAATTTTTATTTTTTATACTGTGCACTCTCACCACAGAGACCCATTTTCTAATCTAGGCCAAAATTTACCACTATGCTCAAAATGTAGGTGCATGTGACGGCCACTCAGGTTGTCACGTGCAGAAACTTAGCCTCAGTTCCTGAAAAATATCCCTAAATAATTTGTTTAAAATATTTCAAAGTTCAGAGGTTTATAATAAAAATACAATCAGGTTAAGTAATAAACCTCATGGATTTATATTAAGTGTTTTTTATAAATCTGGTCTAAACTCTTGTTTTAAGATTTAAGACACTAAAATTAGCAACAATTTTACATGTTCTACATTTAATTAACATTTTGCAAACGGTAGGCAGATAGCAAGCTTCAACAAGTATATAGTTCTCATTGTCTATGTGATTTAATGATCCTTCTTTCTGTCACTATAAGCAGAATTCTCCCGCACCTGGGCCATGTGCAAAGTGTGTTAACATATTTACATTCAATGCTTTAACATGCTGTAAAATCTCTTACCTCCAACTCCCCAGCCAACTACCCCCAAGCCATTAATCATGGTGGTATGAGAATCGGTGCCCACCAGGGAGTCTGGAAATAGCACTTTATCCTCCTCAAAAACAACACGTGCCAGGTACTCCAAATTAACCTGAGGATGTAGAAATGTTATGACTTACTTCAATACATTAATCCAGGAAAGTTTTCTTTTTAAAGTACATATACTGGCAGTATTAATTCTATGGTTGGAACTAAAGGGCATGCTGTTAACAACAGTAAAGAAAAGACACTTTCCAAAACAAATTTTTATTGCAATATTTCAATCAGGTAAGATCTTTTATTAACCCATACAGTTGATACAAAATAACACATGCATGTACATTCCTAGTGACGAAAGAAAGTGAGGCAAGTGAAATCATTAGGATGTGATGAAGCTTGGGTCACTGGAGCAGAGGTGCAGGCAAAAGAGCCTACAAAATATTCTCAGCACCCATATTAGATTATGATTATAATCAACAGCTCATTTTTCCATAAGTAACACTGCAGATATCATCACATAAACATTAAAGAAAAGTGTAACATCACCTTCACAATAAATACCTGTATTACAAAAATTATTAAACAGCTAATATCAGCCATAAAATCTTCATCAAAATTTACCTAATGATAGTAGATTTAGATAAGCCTTTAATATATTTATGTTGCTCACTAATACACACTCTTAAAGAGGCCCTTTGTGTTTAATAGTTTTAAATCATCTACCTGCTCTTTATGATACACCCAACAATTATCCAACAACTATGTCCAAAATTTTCATGGCTTCCCTGTGTGAATGGAGAGTACACTTACAGGCTGTAGTTTACATGTAATTTCTACCAATGTACTTTTTTTTCATTTCTATTGTGGAAGGTTCTGGTGATTTACCTCCAGAAAAGATGGATGAAGACCACTAAATGTACTACAGGTCCGCCATCACAAATCCGGCAATCAGTTATTCGGTTCCTTCAGTTATTCGGCACTAATTTTGGCTAGCATAATTTCAAATTTCCAGGGTCACCACACCAACCTGCTGGTACTGCTTGGTGGCGCTACTTGCTGCATAAGTCATTCCAATTTCTTTTTCTCCATTTATTGTTATAACCTGCTTACTTTTAGCCCTAGCCATGGTTCCAATGAATAAAAGAAATGCTTCTCATTATGTAGAACACCTACACAGTACATTATCCATTAAAGATAAGGTGGCTTTGAAGCCACTGTCGGTTGCCATGAACTCAGTCTCATGAAGCAGGAGAATATGCTTTATTATTACACTAATATCAACACTACAGCTTATTTGCCTATCACAATTGATCTAATATGACATAATAAACAATATAAATAACATAAAACATGTTAAATACTCCAGAATAAATAATATTTTGCATAACACCGAGCAGTTCGACGGAGGTATGAAGAGGATATGGTATACAAATACCATTCTCCTATCCCTGTCTTCGTGGCTTGTATTAGAGAAAACGGAGTGTAGCACAGGGCTGTCATATACACTCGTACTGCACCATAAACATTAAACAAAAGTTATTTTCTCTCTATAGATTATCACACATAACAGCATATGTGTAAAGAACCTAGGATAACCCAAAAAACTCAACGTGGCTTATTTTTAGTACCTGGCTTGGGTTAGCCATATATGATTTTTGGTGAATGTTCAATTCCCAGCCAGGGTAGAAACATTAGGCATGCTTCTTTACACCTGTTGTCTATGTTTACCCATCAGTAAATGGGTACCTGGGTGTTAACTGATTGGTGTGGGTGTTATCCTAGGACACTGACCTAATTTTCTTGAAATACTCAGCATAACAAGCGGCTTTCTATACGGTAGTATGTCACTGATGTCAGCTAGGCCTGTATACCTTGTACATGTACGTGTAGTAAATAAAGATATTATTATTATTATTATTATTATTATTATTATTATTATTATTATTATTATTATTATTTTCTCAGTTGTTTGTTGGGTTATCTTATTCAAACTTGGGCAATATATGATGGAAAGATACTTCTTAACATAAACCAACAATGAAACAAATCAGACCATAAATAGCGGAGTTCACTTCTCAGCCACTAGCGGCCGCTTAGAGGTATATTTTTGTATGTTTTTTATGGTTATATTCTCATTTTTTTCAGTCTCATTTGATAGAATGAAAGATATATTACAGAAATAGATGTGATTTTGATTGCTTTCATGACGAAAAGTACCTTGAAATTGCGCTCACAGTAGCGAAAATGTTCTATTCTTTAGCGAATCTCAAGAGTATACAATACCTGTCCGCCTGCCAGTCCAATACGCAGTCAAGAATGGATTGACATTATTTATACAATTTTTACAATAATGCAGTAGTCTGCATAACAGTAAATCTTCTATTTTTTTGTGAATAAAAATTCCAAAGAGGGGCCTGTAGCCATGACTAATGAACAGAGAAAATGTTATTTTAGTGCCAGGAATGTCTGCTTTGTTTATTCTGGACCCTATTTTGAAATTGGCATCTGTTGAAATTTGTGTGAAATCGGCCAAACTGCCAATTTCTGACCACTTTATTGAGTAGTTGAAATAAGTGAATGGGCAGTTTCTTGTACAGTTTAACCTCAAAAGTCGAACGTATCACATATCGAACGTTTCGAAAATAGGACCATTTTTTCGGACAAACTGTGTCCCTATTATCGAACGTGCCCCTATTTTGAACCGCCGGGTACAGGACCTGTCTGCCGGCCCGCTCTGTCCGGACAGACTAGAAGTAAATAGTTGACAGACTAGAAGTAAATAAGTTTATTCAGGTATACACAAATACAGTTACATAGATTATCATACATAGCAGTGTATGTATAGAGAACCTAGGATAACCCAGGAAAGTCAGACAAAGTGACTTATTTCCAGTACCTGGCTTGGGCTTGCCATATATGATTTTTGGTAAATTATTTCCCAGTAAAAGTAGGCCTTAGACAAGGATGTGTGATGTCACCGTGGTTGTTTAATATATTTATAGATGGGGTTGTAAGAGAAGTAAATGCGAGGGTCTTGGCAAGAGGCGTGGAGTTAAAAGATAAAGAATCACACATAAAGTGGGAGTTGTCACAGTTGCTCTTTGCTGATGACACTGTGCTCTTGGGAGATTCTGAAGAGAAGTTGCAGAAATTGGTGGATGAATTTGGTAGGGTGTGCAAAAGAAGAAAATTGAAAGTGAATACAGGAAAGAGTAAGGTTATGAGGATAACAAAAAGATTAGGTGATGAAAGATTGGATATCAGATTGGAGGAGAGAGTATGGAGGAGGTGAATGTATTCAGATATTTGGGAGTGGACTGTCAGCGGATGGGTCTATGAAAGATGAGGTGAATCATAGAATTGATGAGGGGAAAAGGGTGAGTGGTGCACTTAGGAGTCTCTGGAGACAAAGAACTTTGTCCTTGGAGGCAAAGAGGGGAATGTATGAGAGTATAGTTTTACCAACACTCTTATATGGGTGTGAAGCATGGGTGATGAATGTTGCAGCGAGGAGAAGGCTGGAGGCAGTGGAGATGTCATGTCTGAGAGCAATGTGTGGTGTGAATATAATGCAGAGAATTCGTAGTTTGGAAGTTAGGAGGAGGTGCGGGATTACCAAAACTGTTGTCCAGAGGGCTGAGGAAGGGTTGAGGTGGTTCAGACATGTGGAGAGAATGGAGCGAAACAGAATAACTTCAAGAGTGTATCAGTCTGTAGTGGAAGGAAGGCGGGGTAGGGGTCGGCCTAGGAAAGGTTGGAAGGAGGGGGTAAAGGAGGTTTTGTGTGCGAGGGGCTTGGACTTCCAGCAGGCATGCGTGAGCGTGTTTGATAGGAGTGAATGGAGACAAATGGTTTTAATACTTGACGTGCTGTTGGAGTGTGAGCAAAGTAACATTTATGAAGGGGTTCAGGGAAACCGGCAGGCCGGACTTGAGTCCTGGAGATGGGAAGTACAGTGCCTGCACTCTGAAGGAGGGGTGTTAATGTTGCAGTTTAAAAACTGTAGTGTAAAGCACCCTTCTGGCAAGACAGTGATGGAGTGAATGATGGTGAAAGTTTTTCTTTTTCGGGCCACCCTGCCTTGGTGGGAATCGGCCAGTGTGATAAAAAAAAAAAAATTCTCGGTTGTTTGTTGGGCTATCTCATTTAAACTTGGGCAATGTATGATGGAAAGATGCTTCTTAACATACAACAAAAACATAAAAGACGGACGATAAATAAAGGAGTTCACTTCTCAGCCATTAACCGCCTCTTTGCAGTATATTTTCGTATGGTTTTTATAGTTGTATTCTCATTTTTTTTGGACTCATTTGATAGAATGGAAGATATATTACAGAATTAGACATGATTTTGATTGCTTTCATGATGAAAAGTACCTTGAAATTGAGCTCAAAGTAGTGGAAATGTTTGATTTTTGCCGATGTTCAATGAACTTTGTGTAAGTCAAGTTGGTTAATTTTATTAAGTGTATTCTAACCTAACCACTCTGTAATCCGGCAAACTCAGTAATCCGGCACACTACAGATCCCAATGATGCTGGACTTGTGATGGAGGGCCTGTACAGTACTCCTATAATGACGAAGAATCACTGTCAAGAACGGTTGCATTCACGTTATGATATAAGACATTACCAGGTGAATCAAGGTGACAAAGATGCTGGTTTTGCTGTAAGTCAAGGTAACGTTTCTTACTGTCTGCTGCATCTAGGCAAATACTATGTTGATTTAACTGCAAAACTGCATGGCTGTTCAGAATGAGATCTCTCTCTCTTTGGAGAAATGTACTGGTTTTGAGCATACTTTAGGTGATGATGTAAGATAAGGTTTGTTTGGATTTTTAACCCAGAGGGATAGCCACCCTAGACAACCCAAGAAAGTCAATGCATCATTGAAAACTGTCCGTCTTATTTCCATTGGGGTCCTTCAATCCTGTCCCCCAGAATGCAACCCACACCAGTTGACTAACATCGGGTACCTATATGCTTCGAGGTGAACAGGGACAGCAAATGTAAAACATCTGGCACAAGTGGAAACAATGTTTCCACCTGTACCGGAGATTCAACCACAGACACTCAGTGTGTGAAGTGAGAGCATTGTCAACTGGGCACGGGAC